GCGCGTTACATATACGCCTCCTACAAACGTAATTCCAAGCAGCGGGGATCGAATACAAGCGACGTGAATCGGGACAACCAAGACCATGGGAAAAGGTCACGCATATTAGCCCAGATAAAAGCCTTGGAATCAGAGATTGTTGAATTGCAAACTGAAATCGACGAGAGAAGAAAGGAACGAGAACGCGTTATCCCAATGGATGACATCATGTATCCTAGGTTTTAATGTATTTCACCGAGTCGAGTAGTGACATTCATTATGTATTCTTAACGTTACGGACCCCTATAGAGAGCATTTGTTACGAATAATTGATCGAATAAACATCGGAGAAAGCATAAAAACAGAAGTAGCAAAGTTTGTAGAAAGGTCAGTTATAGAATGGTTTCTCGATGGATACAATAAAAAGAATGGGTAGACGCCATTTCCCATTAGAATTATTTATACAAAGATCTATATTCTTATCCATAGTGTTGAGAACGAAAGTAACCTCCCTGGGTTCTTTAAGGGCTTTGTTCAATATGCGAAATTGAATCACCAGCGCACTATGCTGTTTGACGCTCTAAAGAGAAAATTCCCTGATCTGACCACGTATGGTGACGACCTAACTCATGAAAGGAGCATGACGGAAGGAACTTCTGACGTGGGCAACGAAATCTGCCATTTATTACGATTCACCGTAAATAGGTATTGTTCAAACTATTGTTATTGTCGAAAGTTAACAACATTTGTGATCTGAAGTCTGTATACGTACGTAGTCCCAAACAGCCGATGTAATATTTCTCTGGAGGAACAAAGCATCGGACAAAGGGGAGATATTTCCTGAGGTACAATTGTATCCAAGGATGCCAAAGCAGTGTAAGTTTAAGTAGTACTAAAGGTTAAATTGTTATTGAATCCTCTATGTGGATCGATATTAATATGTATGTTATACGGATAGGGCGTTTGCTGGATAAGAATAGACCAGATTCCATCAAATTTTCAGTCTAGTAGAACTGAAAGGGGTACAATCAGCTGTGGAAATCATGCTTAAATGTATATTTGGGGTCGTCCCGACCGTATAGTCATTCTTGAATAATGGGGATGGAGTTACGTGGTATTCTTTGTTGAAGCTTCTCATCCGGGGTTTCGTCTCAGATGATAGACTGATGCCGAGAGCAAAGTTGAAAGATTTATCGTAGATCAATTGAGAAATTTGATCGATGAGGAATTCGTTATTTTCCA